TTTTAATTTTTGCATCCATTATTTTGGAGCTAAGTTGCCCATCAAGAGTAAGTTCAGCTGCTTCCCTCTCCCTCCTTATCCTGGGGCAGCAGCTGGGTTCCCCCATCCTCCCCCTCTTCTGTGCCTCCCTCCGTCCCCTTTCCCTGACTGGATTTCAGGAAGAGTGTGGAGAGCTCAGGGAGGGAGGGACAGGGCCACAGTTTGTCCCCAGGAAGTTCCAGGAGGATTTGCAGCTCCCCTACATTGGGATGCTGGCCCCCATCTCCATCCCCAGAGGCCCCCAGTCGGGCAGTGGGACATGGACGCAGCTCTGGGAATGCTGCCGTGGCAGGAATACTGTGCTCCCTTCTTCCAGGAATGATTTTTTCCATCAGGTGTAATCCCATTGCACAGACCTGGCAGCTGGTGAGAGCCTTTTCCCTTGGGGGGGGTGCAGATGAGTGAGGGGATTAATTCGAGCACTTCTCCCAGCCCTGAATGAATTTACCCAGGATTCAGATCCCAGAGGAAGGACTTTTCAAGTCCAGAGGAACAAACTCGGAATAATCTTCCTTAGTGCCTGGTTGGGGTGATCCTGCCTGCTGTGAAATCCTGGAGAAATGTGATTTTGAGAGGCTGGAGTTTTGGGGCCCTGTGCTGGGCTCACTATTACCCCATGGAATCGTGCACATGGGGTGATTTGGGATAAATTTGCTGCTGGGCTGGAGCTGGGAAGGTGGAGGATGAACCTGGAAAGGGACAGAGCAGAGCTAGAGGGGCTTTTGCTGCAGTGTAATAGCAGGTTTTGGGTGGGTTTAGCCTCTTTTTGGTAATTTGGCTCCCCAGGACAGGTGTGGGCTGGGGCAGGGACAGCCCTGGGGTGGCCACAAATCCCCTGGGAGAGGGTCAGGGACAACTGGGGCATCCCTGGAGTGGGATGTGGTGCCCGGGGAGGGGGGACAGCATAGACCTGCCACCCTGGGGGGCTCCTGCAGCATTTCCAGGGCTCCAGGCTGAGGAGGTCTCATGTCCCCCAGCCCCTAGACAGGCTGTGAGTAGGGTCTGCCCCTTTCCCCGTGCCCACCTGGCAGATTAATTCGGGATCAATCCACATGGGAAGCAGTGTTCCCTCTCCA